TAATGTAGGAATCAGAGGCTGTTTCATTCATGCTGTCAGGCTGTACGTGAACAGATCATGCCCTTCATAGGGGGAGTGTTGGCCTAGTGGTTAGAGCAGTATGCTTGTGCCTTGAGAAGATTGCAAGTACCCGGTTTGATCCCAACAGCCTGCACTCTAGGTTCCTGTGCAGGGCCCTTAACCCCTAATTGCTCCCCAGGTACGCAATGGCAGCCCACTGCTCCCCAAGCGCATAGGTCAAAATGCAGAGAATGAATTTCCCCATTGTGGGACGATAAAAGGATTTGCATTTCATTTAGTAGGTTAACCACAGTGAGACTGGAACTGTTTCACTTGCAATAGATTACAGTGATTTACGTTGAATATTTTGTCAAGCATAATCTTGAAATAGATCTTTTTCATAAGTAATAGATTTTTGTTGTATCTTAACGGTATAAGAGAGTTTTAATTAGAATCATTTTGTGACTTTCTTCTGGATACCAAAACTTAAATAACGTAAGGTGCAAATTTTGTCTTATCCTTACTACCTATTTTAGCTGTTAAGGTAGGGAACGTTGAAGATAATTAGCACACCTAATGTTAAACAAGCCATGCATATTTATCAAGGCTGGGTGGAAGTTGGTTGAGGACCAAGATGCAGAGGTGAGGAGGCAGAGATAAGTTTTGCTGATTTGATGAAGGCGACAACAGACACACAAATCCAGGAACAAAATACAATAAACTAAAAACCAGGAGATGCCAGGGAAAAACACACATGACACGTAAAGTAACAATGAGAAACCAGAGCTGAAGAACTGCACAGGAGGTGTACAGTATATATGGGAGACAGAACATAGAATGGGCTAATCAGTCGATATGAAGCAGGTGTGGATAGAATCAACTAGAAGGGAGCAAGGGGAAAGAAGACTGGCACAAATGGGCAAGAGAGAGCAACTCAAAAAAGACAACACTGATTAAATAGAACACAGAATGGAAAAGAAACCAATGACCAACAAAACGGAACGACATAACTGGAAACTTAATACGTAGTCCAAAAGGGGAGAACCACAACATTACCTATTTTAACTGTAAAACCAAAAACTGCAGTTGGAAGTACTGAATGATTCTGTGAAATAATAACTTTAGTGAACTGATTCTAGTGATTCAGTTCACTCAAACTAACTGAGGTTCCCAAAAAGAATGAAGATAAAAGGGTTACATTTAAAAGTTAAGTGAATCAATAAGGCAGTAATAGTTGTCTGTTTTCTGCTCCTCGCTGTCCTACACAGACTTCTTTTTTCCGACAAATATTTTTCTACCACTGTTATTTCTAACAGTGAAAATATGTCCAATGAGCACAGACAACAATTTTTTTTTTTTTTTGTGTGTGTGTGAGTTTGCACAACACTTTTTGAACATACTATATTTAAAAGTGCAAAAACTGTAACTGTAATCCCTTTCAGATTTTATAAATCGCTCTCAATGTTTTAAGCATTTATCCACCACCTATAAATTTACCCTCTTAGTCATATAGTCTGAAGATCAGCTTTGCACGTTTTAACAATTGGCTTATGATTCAAAATATGCACATATTTCAAGATCCGTTCCTAAGAGCCGAACACAAAAAGATCGTAAAAAAAATCAAAATATAAAGGAATGAAATGTAACACTCTTAATGACATATTTCAAAAATTAAAAAAATTATTGAAACAGTAAATGGAACAAATAAAAAAGACTAGTAGACAAACCATATCCTTTGTTTTTGTCTAAAATATTTGGATACATTAAATTTAACAGCAATTTAAACAAAAATAAGATAGAAGGAGTAATAAAACTAATGTAATTTCTTATAAAGGACAATCAACATGATGGTATCAGCATTTTGAAGAAGGCTCAATCTGTGTGAGATTAAAGATCATCGTGATGTTTAAAGAGGAACTTGTGGCCTCAGAAAGATGTCAGGTTATGAGTCTGGGAAAATATTTAAAGGGTTCTCAAGAGAACTGAAGGACAATTAGAACAACTACCAAGATCTGGTAGACCAAGTAAATTGACCCTGATGGTAGACTGCAGGATACTAAAAGAAGTTTAGGAAATACCAAAGATGTCTTCAGAAGACCTACTTCAGGATCTTATTTGTCAACTGTCGTGGGGAAAAGGTAATCAACTATACCGTCCAGTTAAATAAACAGAGATCAATGGATTTCCCTCAGTCTGTATTTTATTTTAATTTGCAGAGCAAAATGAGGAAAAGACATCATACAGCCCTTATTGAATGGCGTTCAGCCCTGCTCTGACTAGACTGAGTTTGTCTCTCACTAATTAACCCTGCAGAAAGGCTGTGAAGGTCTCCACACCTCTCTACCCAAATGAAAGACAGAGAGTTTGGAAATAACACATACCCTTTCTATTAGACACGTTGTTGCCTTGCAGCTCTGAGGCCTGAATGAATAAACTCAGCACTGATAAATACTTACATAAATACATGTAAAAGGGAATTAATAGGAGATAGAACATGAAAGTTCATGGCTCTCCAATCAGAAAGAGACAAGAAATGTAGACAGGTTCACAAAGAGGAAACCTTTGCTGTCTTAATCTAAAAACAAGTAAGTAATTGCTTGAAATAAGTGGGGTTTCCTCTTTATAAGAGAAGTTAAATGAAATGATTTGTCAATGGAAGGAACAAAGGAATATACCTTTGTTTATAGATGTTCGAGCTCTGCCTGTTTTTCAGTGTAGTCCTGTTTCTCTGAAATTGACTAGCTGGATGTGCTCTCTTCATCCTCTGACATAGGAGCTGGCTCGGAGCTCCTCTGCATGGCTGTGTGTTTCCTCTACGGGGCTTCCTATGGAGCTGGTTGACAGTTGCCTTTTGTATATCTGTTTCTTTCTGTGTCTCTGCTTCTATCTCCTTGAACCCCAGTCGGCCTCAGCAGATGGAGGTTTCTCTCTTTTAAAAGGGAGTTTTTCCTCTCCACTGTCACTACAAGCATGTTTAGAGTGACGGATTGCCTTTGAGTTTTTTTAGATAGAAAACTTTAAATCTATCTGACTGTATGATCTGGTTGAACTGTAAAGTGCCTTGAGATGGCATGTATTGTGAATTGACGCTATATAAATTACTTTAATTGAAATTAAATTGAATATTTTGCCGCCCCAAATATACTGAAAAAATAATGCAACTGTTTTTGGCATTTACTTAATCACATTTAGTTACTTTAACACAGTTGCCTCATGTTAGCAGGGTTACAAGACTGTAAGTCGTAGACAAGAATGTGTCATGATTGAAACTCTCTAGCTTAGATTCTTCAACATGACATTCACCAAAAATATATTTACTACCTTACAGACTGTCACTGACTCCCTCCACATGAGGAAAACATTGTTTGAGAAGCTGGCTGTTCCTAGCGTGTTGAATGGAGGCACAGCAATGGAAAACTGAGTGGGAGGAAAGAGTTTGGTATGAAAAAAACACAACATGGATAGTCACAGCCTACAGAGCATTGTGGAGTAAATCTCATCCTTGGATTATTTGGAAGATTTAGATCGACTGGACTTTAGCTGGAGGCAGTTCTTTAAAAGCCATGACACACACATCTCCAGGACATGGCCAGGTCTGTAATGTTTCTTGCCGTAAACCATTCCTAGAAGAGAAATAACACCAGAAGGGTTTGGACATGATTTTATTTCCTCAGTCGAATAGTGAACTTTTAATAGTGAGTTAACAGAAATGAAATTTCTTTAAATTATTAAATGTATTCTAAATGTATAACAAATTGTGGTAATACAGAAAAAAAACTATCTAGAATAAATAATAGGAGAAAAAAATTTGTATTGCTATTATTAAGCCATTATTTTACCAGGAAATTTGTAAAGGTCACTGGTACTCTGGCTTGAATAGCTACAATACACATCTTTCTTGCTGGTGTAGTTAATTGAATTTTGGTCTTCAAATGAAATTTACCATAATGGCACAACCTTTGCACAGCTCTGCATGCAGGAATATAACAACAGGAAGACCTAAGAACAAGACCTGTATTTGTGTTTTCTTAAAAATATTTCTAGAGCAAATATTTAGAGATTTTAACTTAAAGTGAACATTTCTTCCTCACAAGTAGAAAGTGAATTGAATGAATATGAGCAGCCTTACCCGTTTCTCCATCTCAACTAAAATCCATCACTCAGAAAATCTATCAGAGGGTAGATTCTGCACTTTTACCAGGTATACTGATTACAACTGAAACCTTGCCTCATTAAAGGAACGTGCTCCAACCATAGAAACACAAGATAAAACCCCCACTGTGAGGAGAATCCCATCAGGATCTGGACCATGCTCTGTCATTACTTTACACAATGATGGGCATTCAGGATCAATCCTGCAATGACAGCTACAACTTTTACTTTGCTGCACACCTGTTATGAAAGGAATTTTTTTTCTACAAATCTCTTACCATTCTCTCAGCATAATTTAAAAAGGGCCACTTAGTATTCACTTTACATCCTGTCCTTAGCTGCCTGCCCCACCATCCATTTCAAAAATAACGGTATGCCCTGAAAATACCTTTCACACCCTGCAGTGACTTGGACAATTGTTGAAGGAGACATTTGGCTCCTACTATAAAACCACTCATGACTCATATTAAAAATCAGAATGCAGCTTTTCCATTTCCTCTCTCTCTTTCCCAAAAATATTTATTAGAGGCTGGCCAAGTGTGAAATCTTACCAAATCCCGAAGTGGGGCTTATTATAAGAAAAGGGGAAATTATTTAATGCAACCTTTCTGTCAGTGGGGATCTGGGAGCTTTTTGGTTTGGTTGGCTTCATCAGACAAGACCTTCAGTCAACCGAGCTGTCAGTCAAATTCAAAGCGACTATTTAAGGAGAGTCATCTCCGTCAGGCGGACCTGTTGATTTTCCTACACATGTTCAAACATGCTCGCTTATCTGAGTCCGGCACAGGAGCTATAAAAGCTCACAGATGCGTGAGCAAATGAAAAGAGTTAGGAGAGCATCATTTGCTTTTGCTGCTGCGCAGATAGTCAGAAGCCTTCATCTATGAGAGGAGCGCACAGCGCAGCTGCTTGGAGGAGGCGCACTGAGGCTCTCCCAGAGTCCTGCGAACAAAATCTGAATCCAGCCCAAGGTGAGTGGCTTACACCGAAACGCGCAATTGTTTGTTTTTTTTTTTATTTACAGCCTTAGGGAATTAAACCAGGGATATGATGAGTACAACTTAAAAAAAAATACTCCTATTTTTTTTTATATATATATATATAATTTAAAGTTATTCACGGATCCGTTTTTTTAATCCTTGGCGCAAAACATCTGTTTAGATATCTTATTATTTAAGAGATGGTAAATTCTAACTGCATTTCATTTTATGTGTAAATTAAGGTATTCAATCAAATATAATTACACAGTATAAAAATCATTAAAAAAAACTTTTTAGCCGAAAGGAGTTTATTTAATTCAAAGTGCAGTTAATTTTCTGTATCATTCGGTTTGTTGTTTTTTATACATGTTGAGAAATAAATAGATTTTCTTCCTTTGCTTTCTGCACAATGGAGGGACATCACCTCCATCTGATATTGTGGCATCAACTGAGCGCACAATCTGCTGCAGCCTCCGCATTCTTGCAAACTGGAATCAAATCTGAACAGTTAGAAATAAAAAGAAACATAGTAGCCTATATATTCAAATGATTACTTGGGGGGAAAAAATGCTCACTTGTTAAATGCCTTGTATTCTCAATTCAATTAAATTCAGTTATAGGTTTTATTATTATTTCTTTAATTTTTTGTAAAATGCACATAGAAAATTTTGAATTGTTTGCATGCAGACACTTTCCTGTAACCCAACAGAGATTTGTTCATTTTACATTTCATCAGCAAATCAACTTTATATTCTTTAAATCAAAATCTCTTGAAATTTTGGAAAAGTATAGTTTTCCTATATCATGTTTTTCCTCATAGAGCTGCATCCCACCGGAATAATTTCCATATCCCACTCTCACCATCCCAAACCATGTGCTTTTGTGTGCACATCCTTCAAATATCCTTACATGAGCTAAATATAGTGCTTCAAGAGCCACCAGCTCTGGTGTTGTGCACATCAACATTGCAGTATGGATAGTCGTTTGTCCACAGCAGGTGAGTCATGTAGCAGAGTTATTATTCCATCTTTGAATTGAAGGTCTGTTCAGGAATACATACTGCATATAGTATACTTCATGTCAGAATTACACTGCATCTGTTTCTAACCTGCAGAGTTTTTAAACCTAGTAGCAAATGTTTGTGACAGACTTTTTCAAATTACTTTGATTCATCACGATTTACCAATGAATTCTAATTTCTCAAGGAAAGCCAGAGATACTGAGTGAAAAAGGCAAAAGGAAATAGACAATCTTCGACACCCCAATGTCATGGTCAGTTTGTGGAAGGACACAAAAGCAGTGTTAGCTAATAAGTCAGTCTTGCAGAGAGAGAATCAGGTCGTGAAACAGGATTTAAGAAAGACGCATGGAACAGACAAGGTAACAGATCTATAGGGAACATGAAGTCAAAATACTAATGGAAGAATCTTGTGATGAACAATGACATTTTCAGTATATACCTGCATAAATAGAGAGCCAGAAGCGGAGAAATGACAAACAACCCAGTTGTGCCAGAATGGAAAGTGGAGAAGCTGGGTCAGAAGACTAATTAACATAGATGGAGCTGAGCTGGGACACAGAAAATTATCAATCAAAGGAGGAAGATAACAAGGGAATCAAGAAATAAAATACTAATGCAATAAAAACAACATACAGATATAAATAAAGAATTTAGCAGGACACAGTAAGAGCTTCCAACTGATGGAAAAACAAGAAGGAAAATTATGAAAACACAAAAATCTAAACTGCAGTGCCTGGAGATTGTGACAACACATTCCAAATGCATACAGTACAACAAAAGCAGCTTTAATCAGAAAAGCTGAGAGAGAAAAAAACTCTTGTGGAAGCATTAAGCAATAAATAACATTAAATTAATCTAATATTTAGTGAAATATATTAAATAATACTATATTCATCCTTTTTGGAAAAAGGTGGAAGTCTTAAAGTTCATAATTTTGTACAATTACAAGATTGTTGTTATGTTAAGGTTAAATAAATCTCAAATTGTGTTTTAAAGAATCACTGGTCTGTGTAATATATTGCATCAGCATTGATCAAATGCATTACAGACACCACTAAATAGTTTGTAAAACATGAAGTTACTAATTTATTTTAAATCAGATTCCAACGTTAGCACCATCAGCCACCTGTAGTAAAATCAATGCTTCCTTCACATGGCTGGCATTCATTTCTATTTCATTTACAGGCAATACATTTTAAAGAATAATCAGGCTCAGAGAGAAATAGGTAACTGTTTTTTTTTTTATTATTATTTGCTTCTTTTGTGTGTCTTGGTCAGAAGATCAGACTCATTAAAAAATCTACAGTGCAAATTGTCTGAAAACACAATTTATATGAAAGTGAAAATGATTTCCTTCCTATACTGTAGGTCCACCTTGTCCTTTTCTGGATGGAGGACACAGGCAGCAGCTGGACACCAGAGCTCACCACTTCATATATGCAGCAGGATGATGGGAACGACACGGGTCCAGTGTTTGAGGTGGTGCTGCAAAACAGCTCGTCCAAGCGCATCCCTCAGTTTGCTGGTGTGGAGCTACTGCAGTCATTCAAGCTGCTCATCATACCCTGCTACACTCTAGTGGCCATCGTTGGTGTCTTTGGCAACTACCTGCTCCTCTATGTGATTTGCCGCACCCGCAAGATGCACAACGTCACCAACTTCTTTATTGGAAATTTGGCTTTCTCTGACATGCTGATGTGTGCTACTTGCGTCCCCTTCACTCTGGCCTATGCTTTCAGCCCCCACGGCTGGGTGTTTGGCCGATTTATGTGCTACTTGGTGTACCTCATCCAGCCGGTGACTGTTTACGTGTCAGTGTTCACACTCACTGCCATTGGTGTGGACAGGTAAGTTCCAAAGATTGGGGGAATATGGAAAAGTATTTCAATCTGTAGTTAGTGTGTGGAAATCTTAAATGGAAAATATTATTAGCATGAAGAAGCATTTACAAAGTTTCAATTTCTCTTATACCTTTATTGTTTAAGTTACCGTTTAGATAGACTTATATTTAAACCATTTTATAGCAAACAAGGGAAAAAGGTGAGGTTAGATTTGTTCTGCAGGGTCCACCTCAGCTGCTTCATAGAAAACCCCAAGTGATCTAATGTTGCCTACTGTAATTTAAATGAAAGAAATAAAATACTGAAGAACTTGATAAGCTAAGTAAAAAAATAAAAAATCCAAGCTAAAGAGTTGAAAAGAATAATTAAAAAGTTATTAAGTTAAGTTAAAAATTAAAGTTCTTGTATCAGCGTCAATGTTCTGAGGGTGATGTAACAAAGAACTTTTGTTTTTTTAATAGTTTTCGAAAAATTTGAAGGTTTACAAATAATTTTGACCATATTAGGGCAAGGTAATGTATATGGTAAATACAATGACCGTGTTTTTACCATTTTTTTTAATCTAACAGAGATAATAATGTCTTGTTCTTTCCTCTAATGACACTGTTGACCTGGATTTTTAAATGTCAAAGTATTTCACTGAGTTCCTTATAAAGGGTTAAACATGTTTATATTTTGTAGTTTTTTAACCAAAAGCAGCAATGTAATAATGTAACCAATAAACCCAAAGTAACTAAAAAAAAATAATAATAATTTATTCATTTATTTATGAGCCGCTGCATTTAGACTACTTTATTCCTATACCCCCTAAATAAAATTAATAAAACCCATTAAATATAATCCATGCCATCCATGTCTAATTTAAAGTCAGTATAAATGGAGCTGTTCTGTAAAGGTTAGAGAAAACTGTAACAAACTTTGAAGATCAAGCAAACAGCAGGTAGTTAATGATAATGGCTAATGTAAGGTTGGAACATCTCACAGATCCATTCTCTGAACGTGGAAGGAGTATGGCAGAAATGCAGACTTACTTAGAAATAGCCGTCTTCCTAAGGGGCTGAGTAATGAGAGCATTAATCAGAGGAGCTTCAACAGGCCCACGTTAACTTCGGAGAATATATATTACCTGTCAGCAGGGCAGCTATTAGATGTGGACTACAAAACTTTGGTCTTAAGAGAAGAGCAGCCAAACACATGCTGTCTGAAAAGAAGTTCATAAAACTCCTTTTTTAGATTTCATACAACCAAAATGAAATATTTGAACTGCATCTCACCCAGAATCCAATATTCCAGAATTGAAACTTGGTGGTGGCAGCACCATGCAGTGGGGTTTCTCTTTCTCTGAGTTAATGACAACTTTATTTGAAGAAAAATTGAAATTCTGGTAGACAAGTTAAGCATTTATGACTTTGGTGAATGTTCATCCAACAAACCTAAACCTACAGCCAGGACTATAAACCAACAGTTCAGATAAAAGAGGGTTTATGTTAGAAAGACAAAATCTAGACCTAAAATGATCTGCTGTCAAAGCTCTCCACCCACCTTGATTGAACTTGAAATATTTTTCAAAGTACATATTTGCAGAAGCTCAAAGCTTAGAGATGTACACCAAACAACCTTCAGCTGCAATAGCTACTTCTTCTGTACCAAGCATGGACGGAAAGGGGGCTGAAATATTAATAAAATGAATGCAAAAAAGCATGCCTAACATTTGAAATTTAAAAAGAAAGAGGGAGATTTTGTATAATTTTCTTCACCCTCCAAATCACGCCATATTTTGTGTTGGTTTATCACATTAAATCTCATTAAAATACATTGAAGTTTGAGGTGATAAATGTGACAAAATGTGAAAATACAGTGTTGTCAATCTGTTTGTATGACACACTGATTTGAAGATACATTTTTATTTACAAAGCCTTTTAAGGACATGTGTCCTCCTCTTTCTATCCTTGCAAATGCAAATGCATGAGGATAATAAATCCTAAGGCTCCTTTTTGTATGCACAGCAGGCCTTTCAGTGAAGATTTCCTGCTCATCGTATGTCTTCATAAAAGTGTATCCTCACTTCTTTCTCTCAGTATTCTTAAGCACTGAAGACATATTGTCCATTAACCTTATCTGTTTGGTTAATTTAAATGAAGGAGGAGAGTGAAAGGAAAATTTGGCAGAAAGTGTCAAGTCTTCTCTGTTGCCATGTTGCACAAAATCTGCTGTGTCTGACCTTGGCTACAGTGCATTGCAGAATCAGACTGGATATTTTGAAGCCAAGGTACAAATCCAATTTTCCTGGCTGAAAAGAGCCCATTTTGCATCCGACTAGTTCATTCTAGTTGGAAGTCATTTCTGAGCAGGTGTAATTTGCAGTACTCATAGGAGCATACAGTAATCTATGCTTCCATTCCTGATGGCAAGCTTTCACTGGGGTTGTTCATCTTCCACCCCTGCAATGAGTCATGTGTGACATTTTCCCATCAGTTTCCATCCATCTTTTGTAACTCTTTCTCTGTGTTTCCTCCCAGATATTATGCTACAGTTCATCCACTGAAGAAGCGAATCTCAGTGTTGGCGTGCACCTACCTTCTGTCTGGGATCTGGCTGCTCTCCTGTGGTTTGGTGGCTCCCGCTGTGGCTCACACATACCACGTGGAGTTTAAAAACGAGGGTTTCACCATCTGTGAGGAGTTCTGGATGGGTCAGGAGAGAGAGCGGTTGGCTTACGCCTACGGCACTCTCCTCATTACCTACGTCCTGCCTCTATCGGCGCTCTGCATCTCCTACCTGTGTATCTCAGTCAAACTGAGGAACTGTGTCGTGCCGGGCCACCACACCGAAAGCCAGGCAGAGGCCCAGCGCCTTCGCAAGCGCAAAACCTTTCGCCTCGTCAGTCTAGTGGTTGCAGCTTTTGGCATCTGCTGGATGCCCATTAGTGTGTTCAACGTTCTGCGTGACATTGACATTGGTCTTATCGATAAGCACTACTTCCTGCTCATCCAGCTGCTCTGTCATCTGTGTGCAATGAGCTCGTCCTGTTGTAACCCTTTCCTTTACGCATGGCTCCATGATCGCTTTCGCGCTGAGCTTCGCAAAATGTTCACATGTCGCCGCCGCATTGGCATCTCTGCTAACAATTGTGCCACAGCCAGTGTGGTTTTGTGAGTCTCTTGTGCTTCATGCTTATCCTGACAATCTTGTGATTCCATTAAGGTACAGCTCTGCAAGTATAAAAAGGAACTCCCACTTAGTCAACCCATTTCATTTGAAAATGTATATTGTCCTATTGTTAACCATTCTTCAATGACTTTAAATGAAAATGTCAGGATGTCAGTGTTTATTTTTAGATAAAAGTCTACAAGATTTCCTATTCTAATGTCTTCTTACTCTGTTCAATAAGCCTTTACTACATAAAGGTGTCTCGAGGTGTTGTTAACAGTGTGGAAAGATGAGCCACTAATGCACAGTGAAGTCACTTAGGGTACATCATTTACTGTAATGTATTTTTCATCTATTACTTAAGGCTAGTTTCAGTTCAGACATAATCATCAAGTCTCATCTGTGTTTGAGCTGTGAAACTAAAGGCAAAGTCAGCTGGAATAAAATGCAGACTACTTGAATTTTATTGAATTCAACTACAATTATTCTACTACAGTAAAGCTGAAAGTCATAAATTGAATAGATTTGTTAAAAACACATTTGTGAGTACAAAGTTTGATTATTTTTCGATTATTATGCAAACCCAAGTCAGTCTCTTAAAAAAAAAAAAAAATAAATATAGCAAACATAGATGAAATGAGAACAGAACATGATTGTGTTTCAGGTGTTTCAAAAACTGCATTGCCTATTACAGGTTACCAAGAGGGTTGTTCAAGATAAAAACCAGTATGGTTGTTTGTTTTCCACAGGGCTAAATGTGGGCATGAGCTCTGGGGTAGTTTAGCTTAGCCCCATTGAAGCATAATGAATAAAAGCTGATTAAAGCTGCTGGTAGTACCACTACAGATGTTTATTTCTCAACACTAGTGGGAGACTTTGGAGAACTCCCCAAAGTAAGTGTTGCAGGCATGAACATGTATATCTGGCTAGAACTAATAGTCTAGTTGGTGTTTTCTTTTTAGGAAGCATATATAGCCTAATTAATATAGTCTATTAACCTAAAGCAACATGCATGGTATGGTTGTTCCTTGTCAGGTACGCTGGTCATTGACCTTGACCAAGGCATCTTACAGTAGTACTGCAGTCATTCCCTGGACTGCCATGGCTATCACTGCCCCTTAGGGACAAATGCAGGGGAGAAATTTCCCACTGGGATCAGCTTCATAGTAATAGTAGGCCACTTCTTTGATTTTATTTATTTTGCTCAGGCTACTCGTAAGCCCACAGCCCACCAAATGTTGGAGGGAAATATCATTGCCATTACTATAAATATATAGTAGGTAGAAATTTTACATATTCAGTAGTAAAATGTCACTGGGGATGGTATGGGGGGATGATTTTTAAGATTTTTTTTTTAAGAAGGGGGATGCCATCCCCCTAATCCCCACTCAACTGTGTAGATCATCCCCTTTTTGCCACTTTAGAGCCTGCAACTGGGACAATATTTCTTATCCTTTTAAAATATAGTTCAAATGTAGGTGAAGAAATTTCTGAATTTCCATCCAAATTATTTAAATCAAGCACTTTCATGGTCAAAGGGGTGTACAATACAGCACCTGTGTAGACTGTAGTTATATAACATTTCTGAAAGAAGAGGTCGCTCTCAGTGAATTCCAGTTTGTCACTGTGAAAGGATCCAACCTGTGGGAAAATATAGATTCAGAAAATATAGATATTTTGCACATTCATTTTCCTGTTACTTCATTGTGATCAGCATAGAGTGACAGTAATATGTTTTTGGCCCCTAACAGTTTTTAGCACCTATCAATGCATATCGGTCCCTGCTTGGCCACCCCCATGAACTCTTTCTGGAACCATCACTGCTGGTGACGAGCTGCAGGCAGTGACTGTGATGGACAAGCAGCAGTAGATGGATGGATGCATAAATCTATTTTGGTGAAAACATGTGAGTCAGTGAGTCAAGCTAAACAACAAGTATTAGTCGTCATTATGGCAGAAGAGTCACTCATGACATTTAAAAGTTGATTCAGAAGCATTTGTGTTGTAATAAAGTTTAATACCACGTGGCTTTACCATGAATGGCAAACCTAAAGAAAACTGTGATCAACTGTAATGCTCCTGTTTGGAAATTGTAGCTTTTTATGCATCCTGCATTTTCTAGAAAGAAAATTATGCCTTGACTGGCTAAACTCATACTACTGCTTTTCCATAAACGTATTTTTTCTGACTGCAAAGAAGAGGGAATATTTTCTACCCATTGGTGATCATTGGAATGATGGAGTCGGTTCTGGCTGTTGCAAACATGATGGTCGAACTGGTACTGAATTTTAATTGTGGCAAAAGATGCAGGTAATAAAGTAGGTCTGCAGGAGGCATTGCTGTGAATTGAAAATGCTCTTACATCAAAATTTCCATAACCATTCACACAAGAGCTGACCAAATGGAAAAAAAATGACCATGTCATTCTGTGTATAGGTTACCAATATAAAGTGAGTTTGGCTGATTTAAGAAATGGTTTCAAGGATAAAAATTTCAACACTGGTCCGGGCATGTTTGGGTGCTTCAAATACTGGGTAATATTTAACTTGAACATCAGAAGGCTTCTTACCCTACGAGTTAAATGGGAACAATGCAGAAATTCCTTCATTTTTCCTGTCAGTTGTTTACAATAAACTGTCCACTGGCGTGTTTCACAAAGATGCTTTAAGAAAATTGTACATCAAGGATTTATATACTTTTATTGTGCCAAAAGTGTGTTAAAGAAATAAATAAATTTCTGCTTGGTCCAAATATGACATTTTAAACACATATAGGCTTCTTTTTTAAAATGAGCACTTTTATAAAGTAAACCCTATACAGGAGCCATTTCTTTCTGCAATCCCTGTTGTTCCATTCTTAAGACTATTGTTACTTATTTTCAACTTCAGATAATTTTTTAACGGGGGGGTGGCCTAGTGGTTAGGACACACTGCAGGGCTTTGAATCCTGAGGATGAGAATTTGAAACCCACCCCCACAGACTAGCCCCATCCGCCAGCAGCCAAAATAATTTTTGCCTGCGAGTGGTCTAGCCTCGATCAATGACCCAGGCCCTAGAACTGGTGGGCCAATCACAATGCAGAGATCCGTTTTGAATTTCTGGATGCAAAGTGGGCGGAGTTTTGAGGGCGTGACGACAAAGCTGTACTACGTCACTGTCAGTAACGCTCATTGGTTAGAGCGTTGGCCAATATGCTCAAACAAGGTTTGAAAGACAACGGGTTGTTCTAATCAACAATCTTCCGATGTCTCATTCATCGGGGCCAGACTAAATTACACATTCAATCTCACATACTATCAATTAGTAAAATACTTTTTCTTTTTTTTTTATATATTTGAAAACTGGTAGATATAAGAACTTTTAACATGTTTCCATGGACCCATTTATAGATTATATAATTACCATGTGAATGGCACAAACAGCTTTCTGGAAACCAAAGTTTACATCATACCATTTCTTTAAAACAGATTAGTCATAGTTTAATGGTTTTGCAGAAAGACAAGAGGAACACAATTGGTATGAGTGTAATGAGATAAAGGTTAGAGTCTTTATTACAAATAAAACCAAAACAGTTTAAATGTTACAGATGTTTTAGATTCATTAAGCAACACATTTTAGAGATGAAAGAGAAGAGATATTATCCAACAAATCTCTCCAAAATCTCATAAAAAGGCACAGTTCTTTGCATATTGAAAGGAAATATTTCTGGCTTTTATTAGTATTAATCTGACACCTAGACTAGGTTGGATTAGAACAATTAGCTGTTAATTATCTTTGGTAAATATCTAATACATGTAGCAACAGACAATCAGAGTGATCCAAACAATTGATCAACTATAGAAACACAGGATTCTGCACAATTACTTCTCTACATCCCAAACCGTTTTGCATAGCTTGGTTAAATGCATAAATACAAAATTATATAAGACACGTAGTGCAGTAGCTACTTGCTTTTAGCTGCTGGTTTTCTGAACAGCCCCTGCAGCAACAATGAGCACATTAGTTCTGAAAGGACTGAAAGGCAGTGTGATATCCCACAGTGTTAGCTACAAGGTGATGGCTGTTGGTTACAGAAGCTTTCAAAAAGGATTTAAAAAAAAAAGGAATATAATGATTAAGACTTCAGTGGTGGAAGGAAAGATACACACATGTGAAACTGTTGAAAAAGGATGGGTATGAGATGAATCACCAGGAAGCAGTAGAGTCGAGACAAAGGATCAGAGAAGAGGTAACTAAAAAGCTATAGTGTGCTCTGTCCTTTACATCAAGTTTATTAAGGCTGGTTTAAAACAAACCCAATCAATCTGCTGTACCTTAGAGTTAAATAAAGACTTTAATTTCAAATATAATAAAACTTCACTGCTTGTTACTACAGCAGATCTTCTTAAACACCTCAAGCTAATAAAAGTGCATATATTAAAAAGACATTCATAGTGCTTCTACCTCTCAGTAGGATGACAGCAGTATAAATACATTTCTGATAGAGTTCAGTAGCCTCTCTCTGTTCGCTCACACTGGCTTGGTAACAGTTAGAGACTGCAGGATGGTGGGTTTCTCCTCTATGACCCGGACCAGCAGATTGTCGATGTACTCCTCCAGCTCTGTGATCTTGGCGTCTTTCTTGGAGAGGTCGGTCTGCTGTTTGACCACCAGCTTGATCAGCTCCTCTGTGGTCAGCTGACTGTAAGGGCCGCTTCCCACAGAGTCTTCCAGCTAACAGAAAAAAAAGGACAATGAGAACATTTGAAGGAGTAACATCGCCAGTGATCCCTCACACCCCCACCATGAACGGCTCTCCCGGCTGCCCTCTGGGAAGAGGCTTCACACTATTCCAGCAGGATCTGCAACAGCTTTTCCCCACTGCCATCAGACTCTACAACTGTCTAATCTATCTTTCTAAGATTCTGCATCACACTTGAAAACATATTTGCACTACCAACATGGCTGTTTTTTTCATAATTCCTTTAAATAGAACACAACTCAATGTTCTACTGCATTTTGCACCATATTAATGCCTTTTGTACCGACTTTAAAGTAGTTTTCTTTTTTCTCCTACACTGTTTACATTCTGTTCACTGCTGCACTTTATAAATGGAAATGCTTGTTTCACTGCTAAGCTGCTCAATCACTGTTGAAAAGCTTGCATAGAAATTTTGTTTTGTATACACTCTGTATACAAAATGACAATAAAGGTTCTCTAAATCTTTAGGTTTAAGGAGTTGATTTTATATCTGGTGAGATTCTGATTGGATGGAACAGAAGTGGGATAGAGAAGGATGGTTTCGACTGGATCACCATTCATTCAAGAAGGTATTCATCTCTTTTACTCTGATATTACCAAAAATATGGTGCATTCAATCTTTTAGTAAAATCCCACAATTCATTCTGAATTTTTTATTTTTTTTCTTCCAGTCTATAAAACATTGTTTACCTTAATTTTCCCAGGGGTAGTGTCCCAAACTTTGATCTCTTTAGCAGCAGGGGAGCTGGTGGACTGGCTATCAGATGAACTCATGGGCTTCACTGGATGAGGCCTGTTGAAGAAGACAATAAGTGTAGATTAACTTAAACCGAATAGAGAGTTACAGCAGAGCTGGTGTTCACAATGTCAACATTCCATAATAAGCAGATCAAGAAATGTAAAATTAAAGAGGTCATATTATGCTTTTTAGGTTTCTTTGTTCTTGTTTTTCAGGACACATTGCTAAAGAGCTGCATAACTGCTGAAGCAAAGTAAACTTTTCTGGACAAAGAGATTTTACATAAGCTTAAAAAATGTTTCACAAAAGAAAAACAAAACCACTGAAATGCTAACCCCCTGTAATTCTCATATTAAACTGTAACCTGTAAATAAGCATAATATGGACTCTTGAAGGCCATCAACTTTATGGTGATTCCAGACTCAAAGAAATAAAACAAAAATCAGAATGAGGACAGTTTCCAAAAGCCAGAGACAACAGTTGAACCCATGATCCAAATGAAAAACCTCTCCTCCTTTCTCCAATGTTAAAGCACCGTGCTGAAAGCAGTTTGATCATGAATGAATCAGAACCAAAAGTTCACAAAAGCAGACCTCGTAATCAGCCCGGTCAATCTCACCTGCGTGGACTCAATCCTAGCCCACCTCCATTGTTACTCTGAGTACTGACAGGCTGGGCTTCGGAGGGAGACACCCACGCTTTCAACAGCGGTTTTCCTGGTTCCTCCAGAACAACAGAGAGGGGCTGGGAGGAAGGAAACGCTGACTGAGAAGGATCCTCCTCTCCATAGAGACCATTTTCTGGTTTGAGGTCACTTTCAGGCTGCGCTGGGGCGAATGCTTTGCTGCCCCCTCTTGCAGAGACCACTTGACTGGTTGTGGTTGAGGCTGTCGGCTCTTTAGATTCTGGTTCTTGTTGGGATGTGAAAATGTTCTCAGAGCGAATGGAAGGCAGGGGAATTTTTCTTCTTGATGAATTCCTCCTCTGAAAGGCAGGACTGCCTGGGTTTGAATGTTCATCCTTTTTTCTGCTCTGGGCTTGTTTGACTGAATCATTGCCATTCAAATTAGCCAATGTATCAGCCTGCTTCTCCTGATTAAAGCCGTTATCAGAATTATCTGTCTGCTCTCTCCGCACATTTCCTGATTCTTGATCAGGCTTCAGCTTTCCTCTGGAGTCTTGAGATAGGCGCTCAGAGTTGGAATACTGAAGAAAGTTTGCAAAGTTTTCCCTTTCCTTTTTGTTCATGCTGCTCATATTTAAACTGGAGGTTTGGACGCTTGGCTTCACAGCAGATTCCTTCTGCTTGGCTGGCTCCGTGCCACTAACCCTTTGTCTGGGTTTAGCGGTCGGTGCTTCCTTGTTTGAGGAGACTTGTGGTTTCCTTTGATCATCTAATGGAGCTGTATCAGCAGCCGATCTGCTGGGTGGTCTGGATGTAGGTGTGGCTGCAGCTGAGGAATGCGGCTCCTTCCTTTCTTCATCTTTTGACGTTCTGCTGCTTGCTGTGGTGGTTGTTTTAGACGTAGGTGAAAGAGACCTCAGGAGAGAGTGTGGCGTGACCTTCTGGCCATGTCTTTGACCGGACTCGACCGCTGAAGGAGGGACTTGAGAGGCAGAATGCCGAGGTGGAGCTGGGGCTGCAAATTTCTTTGTTGACACAGGTTTGGTCTCCTGATGTTTCCTGATATCAGGATTTTCTTGCATTTCGTGAAACCTAGACCTCGTCTGATCCACTGGTCCATCCACACTCATCTCAGGACCCATAAGCTCAGGTGTACAGTCTCCATGCTTCTTACTGAACTCTGAGACTAAGTTATCCCATCGAGTTTCGCCCTGCACTCCGTGTCTCTTCTGAGGAAAGAGTGTATTATAATCTGGAAGCGGTGGAGAAACCTTTCTTTGCTGCGAATCATCATCTTCTACATAAGCAGGGTTCTTGAACTCTCTGACCGGAACCTGATCTCTTCCAGAATGGGTTCTGTGTCCAGAATACAAAGGTGGTAAAGGTGATCTTCTCCTCTGATCCGCCATGGTGTCAAAAGATCCTTCAGAATTGACGATCGATAAATCTTCTGTGCTGCCACGCGGAGAACCGGACGGACTTTGTCTGGCGTTAGCGGGGGCCACGGATGAGTGCAAGCTGGAGAAGGTATCAGGGGACTCCAAGGAAATGCTAGAGAGGGTAGCCTCCGATTGGTTTGGGGAAGGACATGGCTGACTGGTGCTTTGGTAGTCAGCAGGTTCAGACTCCAAAATTTGAGGCAATCTGCCAGGGAGTGAAAAAAAAAGGCCTACAGGTCAGTGTGACCAAAGTCTCTTTCAACGTTCAACCCATCACCAGTTAAACCAGGGCATCACATTTCGCTAAATGGCTTTATGACCATTTTAAAGTAACACTATGGCAAAGACTAGAGATGTACCAACTTTCCTCTGAAATACGTCAAACTAAGAAATAATCTTTATTCATTAGACACATCTATCAGCTTCCTGCAGGTTCAGGTGATTATGAAACATTTTTGTGGAAATTCTTGAAATCCTTTTCATTTCCTCATCAAAGCTTGTTTCCTTTATGTTTTATCTCAATTATGGAAACATTCAGTCATAACTGTAACCATTTGGCTGATAGGAGCCCTGACTAATGCATCTCTGATCAAAAGTATTCACAAAATAAAGTTGGGACCCATAAAGGTAATAACCAACACCCATGTGAAGTTTATCACGTTTCTATTTTTAGCTGCTGTTTGACATGACTGGACGCCACAATGAGATCATCACCTATTAGATACAATAAGAAAAACAGCACCGCACCACAATTTAAAGAAAGCAAACCATGTGGAAGGTGACCTTCAACAGGACACAACTAGCTGCTCTGTCTACAACTTCATATCTCTAAAACCTTTAGGAAAAGTTGTAAAAAGAGGAAACAACAAAACTCATCTTACCATTGTGATCAAAAAGCTTCCAGCTCAGACCAAGAGACAAGCAAAGAGGAAAAAAACAACTAAAAAACCAATTTCAGTCACCCCAGAGCTCCTCACAGAGAGGAGACACTATCGCTCAGTGGCTGCCTATGGCCGCGGTTCTCTACACAACCTGTTCAGCAGCATCTTTTCAAACACCAACCACGCCTACATTCTCAGACCAGACAAAACTAGTTTAACAGGTCTGTCAACCACCGGCTGGCAGTCTGAGTTAAGCTGATACAAGACAGTAAAAAGACAGATTCACAGATTAATAATAAACAGGGGGGGTTCCCAGGTTTCAGGATTTTGCAAGCAGGATGTTGAGAAAAGCAGAAATTGTTTCTAACAATGTTTCTCATATCTGTGCATCTTGCTTCAGTTTTGTCCTTTCTGCAATGCTCCAGTTAAAACAAAACAGAAAAAAACCCGTGGTCAGGTATTTACATTTCAGTCAACCAAGCCCATGAGGAAAGGACTCCTCGGTGTCATAACATTGCTGCGAATAGAATTACGTAACTGTGGTGCAGTTTGGTGTAAACAGTGCTACAGAGATAGATGCAGGCCTACCTGGGTTTGACTGCAGACACTTTAGCGGTGCGGTTTTGGAAGACCGTGGAAGAAGGCGTTTGTGGGTTCCGGCTGAATTTCAGGGGATCAGACGGACTTTGGTTGGTGGCAGCTGGAGGATCTGAGTGGACGGGGATGTCTTGGAATGGATTTGTGTTGTGGGACACTGACTCAGTGCGAGGGGCTGCGACAGGAGGCTGCTCCTCTTTGGTCTGCTGATGGACGTCGTCCTTCTTTTCCTCCTTCTTTCTTATCATTCCGAACAGAGAAGTGAGCCTCTCAGTCATGGAGGCCTCCTCTTGGTGTTTGTGCTCCTCTCCTTTTCGCCGTTCCTCTTCAAGCCTCTGGTTTTCAGCTGCTTCCAGCCTCCTGCGCTCTTCCTCCTCTTCCTGTTTTTTTCTCCTGGCTTCATCCTCCAAATAGCGTCTTCTCCTCTCCTGCTCCTCCTGTTGTCTTCTCTGCTCTTCCTCCTGCAGTCTCCTGGCCTCTACCTTATATTTCTCCTCTTCCTCCAGCCTCTTGGCCTCTGCGATGCGCTTTTCCTCTGCCTGCCTTCTATTCTCCTCCTCTTGATGGTGCTGTTGCGCCTGTAGAGTTTTATCTGTGGATGTGTTACCATATAAGGGTGCTTGTGTGCCTTTATTGGTATCTGCAGAGGCATCAGATGTGTGTTTGTGGATATCCTCCACCGAGCCTAGGCCTGAGCTGTTCAGACTGAGAGTAGATCCAGTTTTAGCTTCTGGTTCCTCAGTGTAGACATGGCTGCCGTTGATGCACAGGTTGTTCAGCTCACTGTTGCTCTGCTTGGAGCGGCCCAGTAAAGAGAAACCACCCAGAGAAACCTTGCTGTCAGAGCTGCCTGTTCGCTTGTGTCCTAGGAGTTTGAATTTCTTTTTTCCTGTGGGAGGACAAACAGGGAAGCATGATGTCATTGTTGAGATGGAAATCACCCTTATTTAAATAGCAATGCACAGCACTCAGAAGCCAGAAATGTCCACATAAACAGTGCAAACAGGGTGTGGAGAGGTTGAATTACCTTCAGAGGAATCGATATTGAGGCCAGACGAGCGGCTGGCAGAGAGGGACGAGTTCTTTTCAGGGAGGGTCCCGAGTGTGGACATGGACTGGGAGATGTTACGCTGCAAGTTTGATTTAGAGGCGAAGGGATTCTTTATTTTAGGTTTCTTCTTTCCAACAGAGGTCTGATTAAGCGACTGTGCATCAGCTTCCCCCTCGCTGTCTGTGAGCACCTGGCTGACAGGGGGGACGATGGCAGACACCGAGTCAGAGGGGCCCTCCTTCTTTTTTCCACGGACTTTGTCCTTCAGCTTAGAGATGCGAGAGCGCGGCTTGTCCTCCATCGAAAGGTCAAACATGCTGGCTGACATGTTGTTTCTCATGAACTGGATATCTAGGAGCACCTCCCCTCGCACCTTGTCCTCCTTTCCAGACTTGTCCACCAGCTTGTACCAGCTGAAATGAAATCAGAATGTCACACATGAAGATCAAATGACATTTATTTTTTTAACCACAAAAAAAAATAAGTTAATATGCACAAAAAACTCGCCTCGAACAGACCTCATCAAGCATTTACTCCTTAAAAAATGTTTCCATTCATATAATGGTAATATTTAAACAGTAATCTCAGACATTTATTAAATGTAAAACTGCTTCAGACGTCAATACAGACTTGATCTGCACAAAATACCACAGGCGTTGAAGCTGGACATTTTTCTAAAACTGTCTTCTGGATGGGAGTATCTACGGAGTGCAACATGTTTTATATAAAATTTTAGAATAATTGAAGTGTAGACGAAATATCAGGTGTGAGCATTACACCAACATGAAATATATAAAGTCCCTCACCTGGTTTTATGTTAAATTTAAATAACTCTACCCAATACATGCAGCTCCTTAGATTTTAAATATTTTGACTTTAGAATTAAGAGATTGACTGATGCAGTGTTTGAGGCCAACTGAGTCTAACTGATCCCCAATATATGATTAAAATAAAAGCAGATATTGTTTTTTATTCCTTCAAAAAAAAGGTTTTGTCTGAATACTTCTCAGTAAATGTTTGAATATAAGAAACAAAACAAAGGAAAAATACTGTTCCCCATCCTCATTTTGATGACAGATGGTTCTATGAAAACCTTAAAACTTATTTCACGGTTTGATTTTTTTTTTTTAAACAAACTATTTCTTAATTATAAAATGTATTATGTGGCAAAGTGGTGTATGATGATTTTACTTGAAATTTCATAGTTGTGCAGCAATAAGCACTGATGTAGGACAATGATGAAATCATTCATATATAAACTAAAATAATAATGTAATGTTTTTAAATGTTTTTATTTTTATTTTTTCTGACACTGTTTTTATGCTTTTGTACGGTGACCTTGAGTGTCCAGAAAGGCGCCTTTTTAAATAAAATGTATTATTATTATTATAAAAACAAAACAAAACAAAAAAAGCTTAAATGCTTTCTGACCCCAATAATATAAAATAAATACAATAAAAATAGCATCAACACAACCATTTAGTACAACTACTTTACGGCTCCTGCTCACTGATGTTATTACCTCTAGATCAGAAAACTCAAAGAACTGTACTGTAAATGTTGGATTGTAATTTTGACTCTAACTCATTTTGTCTAACATTACAACTCACAGGTGGTCTGTTTGCTTAGCAATCAGCTACCTCAATTTTCCTGATGTTCACAACCTGAAACATTTAGAGTTATATATAATATTTTGCTGAATTATTCAAGGTTCTTTTCATGAATCATTCCACTTACTACAGAAAGGCATTCTGACAATAAAAACAGCTACACAGTAGTGTTTCTGTGTGCTTTTCTAAGTCTTTATGTTAATTTATCATCTGTTATCAACTCTAGCTGTGAACAAGCAGGACGCAATAGAAAAAATGTCCTTCTGGACAAATAAGACTAAAGCAGCATTTTGTACCAACACCAGAAGAATAACTATCAGCACAAAAAAACTCAAACTAATTATCGTTGCTGAGGGTGGGGGTAAGAATTTCAGTTTGTTTTGCTGCGACAAGACCGGAGCACCTTGCTAGACTAGACTGGACAGAAAACCTGTTTGAGAACCAGAGGATTCAGAAGAGACAAAAAACTAAATGGGAAAAGAATACACAAGGGAGACCTAAAAGGCTGGATCTCAGTCCAAAATTTGGAAAAACTTTGTGTGGGCAAAGACCAACAAAACCAAATTAACTGAAGGTATGTCAAACCTTTCAATAATGCCACAGCAGTAAGGTCACCCGAAACAGGGATTCAGGATAAATTACTAAACACAATCCTCTTAAGCTGGTTTAACAAGTTATGGAACCTGGAAAGAGTTGTTTATTTGCACCACAAACCCCCTCCACACATGCGCCTCTGCATCATCGCCTAGTCTTTGTACACAATATCACTGATACTTTAGCTAAAAACAAATAAGGTCATACGATGGAGGCTATTTAAATAATGACCTTCATAACTATCATTAATACATATTACAGATGCAGAACTAACGGAGCTGTTTTACTACCAGGAATATTTGAACTATATTGGACTTATGACACCATTTAACTTTTTGTTTAGGTGTAAACTAGGCTTGTCCCGATCCGATCCATGTATAGGATCGGGACGCCGATATTGGCAAAAAAATGCGTATCGGCAAAGCATGTAAAATGCCGATCCAGTTTAAAAAAAAAAAAAAATCCGGTCCGTATTTTCCAGTTTCGCCGATTGAAACGATCCATTCTACTATTTTGTGCCAGTGTTTCCCTGTTTTGCATTTTTATTAAAACTTACAGTAATACTTGCACCTTTAACTGTTTACGGTTTTACTGTTCACTGTGCAATTTCAGATTGCTATTCATAATTTTGTCCAGTTTGTGTTTATCTCTTAATAAACAGGTAAGTTTGTTGTTACCAAGCATTGTGTTTTATTCAATCTCACCTAATTTAGCTGGATAGATGTTATCAAGAGTACTAAAACCCTTTTCAACATGAGTCTTGCAACTAAGGCAAAATACTTTAACTTAAACTTAAATACGTGCTCGGATAGGCTGGTATCTGCCAGTATCGGTATCGGATCGGAAGTCCAAAAACAATATCGGTATCGGATCGGAAGTGCAAAAACCTGGATCGGGACATCTCTAGTGTAAACAGTTAAAGTCAAAATTGGAGAAAAAAAAATTCTAAGAAAATGAGACGCAAATACAGAAAATATAATAAGTTCTGCCCTTTCTCCATATTTGTTGATAAAATAGTCCTATTCCAAAAAGTATTTAATGACTCTCTTACCTCAGAAATTAAACACATAATACTTCATTAAAATTCTTTGAAAAGAGAATCATTTGCCAATTTCTTACAAATAGAAAACTAAGAAATCTGATTAACATAAGTCTTGATAAAAAAAGATAATCTAACATAAAAAAATTATTAAAAGAAACTAATTGTTATGACTGCGATTTTGGTCTTTCAGGGGAATAAATGTGTGACCATAAAGTTAATTCAGTTCAATCTGCATGAAATGACCTATGATCTGGTTCTAAGAAATACTGAACTTCTACAATACATATACTGTTCACAACTCTACAACAAAGGTGCACTCAAAATAACTTCTTTTTAAATACGTCATGTTTGTTGAAATGAAAAAACCCGTCCAATTAGAGTGGCGTCATTAATCCGAGTACAGCTTCCACGTGCTGCTGGAGGGGCTAAAACGGGTGCAAACAAAGCCTGACAATTACTGCATTGTTAAGCCCACACCCCAGAGCCTGTTTGTTGCACTGCATTACCACTTATTGTCAGCAACGGTAAGAAAGAGAGTTCTGGACAGCCCCCTTTAAACACTCACCAAAACAAACACAGTGATTACAGGTGGGTCAATTCTGGTTTAGCAAGTCAACTTGGTCAGATGTGCATACAATAACACTGAGTACAAGCTGCCAGTATGGACAGAATCAGTGCATCTCTTAATCAAATTTCTTAATATTTGCTTAACTTATCCATTTAATCTTTGTAGCGAAAAACCTGCTTTAAATAAATCCCAGTACAAACATTTGTGCAAAAATCTTCAAATTTGGGATCTGCAGCACGTGTGATTTCTTCTTGCCGCAGCATGTTATGGAAAAATAAAAAAAACAGTCAGGAAGCAAGTGTGGGAGTGACCCAACATTCCTCTGAATGTGCAGAGAGAATCTGCACAGTATGTACAGTACAGTAATAAGCTAAAACTACAAAGAGTTTAACTCAAACATTTTTCATCCTCCCACCTCAAACCAGAAGGGCTGAGTCAAACAATTACTAATGAAGTCAGACCATGAAGAAAGGCAGACAACACTTTTCAGTCAGTCAAGAAATGTTTTGCTGCTGTTGTTCAAAGCAATTCCAGGAGGGAGTGTACCTCGAGTGAAGACGACGTTATTAAAAAGGATGTCAGGGTGTTTTTAACTTCTGCTTTGTTTGCATATAATAGAGTTAAACCCTGACGTTATGTGCTAACTGGTCCTGCTTTACAGGTTTACTCTAACCGCTGAAAGAACTTCTGTTTTACATATAATTATTAACAGAAGACTTGGATCTTTTTAAGCAGCACCAGTCTAATTAAAGACCACAAAAAATAGGCGAGTTTAAAAAAATCTAAGCAACACCATACTTTTACTGTTAAAATCAATTAAGATGATTATTTTTTTGTGTGGGAGATTTATTATCATTATTATATGAAATTATTTTAAAAGGTAAGGAAAGAAAGACGTCTTCTACTTTAAATGAGTTTCGTTAAATATGCTGGTTTTGGTTATGCGTCAATATAGGAAACTTTGAATACAATTGCTAAGCTCTTTGTTTATACAAAAACAGTGTCAGGTGCCTGGACACCTGACACTAGGGAACAGAGCCTGCAAGACCTGCAACTTCCCCACAGGTCCTGCTGACCTCGATATACCGCTGGTAACCAGGAAAAACATCCTTAACTATTTTACCTTGATTCAACAAGTTAGAATAAAAAAATAAAATCTGACTAGTTACATAAATATGTTTCTTAATGGTGTGTTTTAATCGCTGTTACAGTCATTGTATAAAGGTAACAACCAGTAACATCTTAAAATAATTCAAGTATCTCCATAACCTGTGAATGTGACTCAGTTTATATATTGAATCCCCTGATTATCAACCTTATAAACACTTGGTTTATCGTACGTTAAGAGAAATGTTCACAGTAAATGACTAAAAACTGCTGACAGAAACACTACATGAGATTTTTTCCAAACAGCCTCATTTAGCACGAACCTTTAGATACTTCAAATTTTTTGTTGTATTAATAGGGCTTAAACTGTTTAAGTTTCACACATTTCAGTTCTATCAAGGCACGTGTTCTCTAAATAGGGCTCAGAATACAGTTACAATACTCAAGTGGCTGATGGAGAAAATCTGTACTGGCTAAAATTTGACAAAGCAC